GTAATACTGATAAGCTCATTAAGTAAGCAGAGATAGTGTGTTAGACAGGGTTCTCTAGAGAGATAAAATCAAATTGCTGATAATTTAATATATTTATTTATAAAGATAATTAGATATATAACAAGAAATGAACTGTTAAATCATATACAGATAAATATAGAATACAAGAAATGAACAGTTAAATTCTAAAGCACTACAAATGGCTCACTGCAACTCACTCCTGTGAGAGAGAGTTGTGAGAGACTAGCAGTCCTTCAAGTCTAGTCTGCTGCCAGGTATTCCTCTATATATAGAGAGAGCTAGGCTATGTCAGCACAGCAGCCAATCACAAGGCAGGTCACCAACTGTCAGCCAGGTCACCAACCGCCAGTCCCCAGCTCCAGAGATGTCTTAAAGGGACCTCAACTTACAGCGACACAGTCCACAGGCTAGGCATCCCACAGGTAGTATAGCCTTTAAATTGAGGCACAGAACAAGCAAGGCAGCCGCACACTGGTCCGATGATCAAAGAGCGAGAGACAAGAAAGGCAAGGCTCACTAAGCCATTTATCTCTCTGCCCTTCAGTTAATCCCACTTGTGTTTATTGGCCAGGCTGGCACAATAAACTATCTCAGATAGTAAGAAAACTCACTCCAGAGAAAGCAGAACAGTGTCTCTCTTTTTTTCAAGAGAGAGAAACAAAATAGGAAAATACAAGTAATTTTGGTTGACCTGGCTCACTGTCAGTAGTCCACATGATCACACTAATATAAACTCTGAAGGTAAAGCTGATCTGGCTTTACAGTGGAACTCTAAGCAGTGAGTGGAGACCTGGCAAGCTCCAAGTGCTGGTGTGGTTGGGAGGACAGGTGATTTGGGGCAGGTAGAGTTGAGTCTACACACTGACCTGCTAATCACATCATCTGTGGTTTGAACCCACCATTCACTCTGTGGGAGATAGTTGAGGCTGTCTACGCCTATAAAGATTTGAAGGCTCAGGAACCCAAACGGGCCGTTAGTTGTACTCTATCGCTGTGTGTGTCAGAGTTGACATGCTGGCAGTTAAGTTGGGTTTGGATTTTTGGTTCCGACCCACGTTGTCAGTCTGTTTCATTGAGGGTCTTCCTCCTCTTCACTGACTTCCTGTTTTCCCAAGCATGTGCTTTCTCCGGGGTTTGGTCGCTTCTGACAACGTGTCCACAGCGCCGTCCTCACTCCTAAGGAGCATCCTGTCCTGGCGCACTTCTTTCAGGACAGGTGCATTTGTTCATCTGGCTGTCCATGCACTATTGCTGTTCTTCACAGTGGGGGCGGGTTTGTGTTTTGTAGACTAAGTGAAGGATCGGTAGTTTGAATCTTCATAACTGGACTAGTAAAACAACATCACGGCAAACAGCGAAAAGATCAGACTGACAGAGGATTTCATTTTACTTCGATCCCCAGTCAACGCTTATGGAAGCAATCAGGCGACAGACATACTGTCTTCAGCCGATCTGCTGCAAAGGCCCGTTTTAAAGTATTAGAGGGCAGAGAGGCCACTTTGAGGACGGAGGGGAAAGTGTGCCTAACCCAGCCCACCGTATTTCTAGTTGCATCATCTGCATGCAGATGCCGGCCAAAGAATAAAGAAGACTGAAGAAACACTGATGTGGGCAAAACCGATGGAAATGACCAGAGATTGCCAGAAGAACTAACAAAACTCTGTCTTGGAAGAAGTCTCAGTGCTCCTTACTACACGGGTAGATGAAGGGAGACAGACGGCGGACAGGGCAAGATACGACAAAATAGTGATTTATAAATTATCAAGGGTTCCTGAGGGAGGGGGCGGTGGGGAGGGAGGGGGAAAATGAGGACCCGAGGCCAGGGGCTTAGGTGGAGAGCAGATGTTTTGAGAGTGTTGAGGGCAGTGAATGTACCAATGCGCTTTACACAATTGATGCTTGTAAGGATTGTGATAAGAGTCGTATGAGCCATAAGAAAACGATAATAAAAACAACACGGGTAGAGAGACTTCGTCTTGTTACTTTGGACACATTCTCAGGAGAACCAGCTGCTGCAGAAGGATGTCGAGGGGCAGCAGTGAGGAGGCCGACCTTCAGGGAGATTAATTAAACGCAGCAGTGGTGGTGAGGCTCTCTCGAGAAGTGGCGACTGTGCGCCAGCACCCATTAGGCCGCACTTAACGATAGGAACAGCGCACACCATTTTGGCTTAAAAATGGTTCTGTCATTTCAGTCCTACTGTTGGCATGTCGCTTGCTGTTGGATGCCGTTGCGTTACAGTAGAACTTCCCTCCCCCAGTGGGCCCTCAAGAGGACCACCCGGTCTTTCTCCCTTGGAAGGTGCAGAGTGGGTTGAAACGGTCAGACTTTTATTTGGGAGCACAGCACTTGCCTGTAGAGGGTCACGAAACTCAAGGGTCACCGGGGGTCAGCATCAACTCGATGGAAGTGAGTTTGAGGTTTGAGCTTTGAGCCGTTGCATAGTCATTTGTTCAGTTATTTTCCGAAGGCCAATTCTTTGTCTTTAGTATGTTGAATTCAGGGTACGACCGTTTGTGGTTTTAAAATGACTGTGGCCGGGTTGTTTCTCAACTGATGGCAGCAGGGACAAGTGGGTCAGCCAGGGCCTGCCAGCTGCAGTTGATTTATTGTTCCAAAGAGCGAATGAGTATATCTAGATTGTCTTTAGTGTTCGCTTCTCGTGAAATGGAATGTTTCCCCATACGTTATCTGTCTGTGCTGCACTTCCCTTTCTGCGCGCGTATTGTTCGTGTCCTGTGTCCACTTGCGTCAAAGCAATCTTTGGTTTTATTAAGTTTGGCACCTCACATGTAAATATTTACCCTTGTTGTAGTTGCTATGGCTGCAGATAACCTATCTTAAATTTTTGATGCTGGTTTTAATTGCATATGAAATTTAAAACTTTTTCATCTCTGTCATATGGTAATACTTTCGTATGTCTCCTCCCTCTCCCCTCAAAAGTGAAGGAGACCCCTGGTCTAAAATACTCTACCGAGTGTGTGCTTGGCATGTGTGTAGCCTTGGAAGATTTAAAGTTAGTTTTAGTTGGTGTAGTTCCCCTGAGATTGCTAGCCAGCTGTCTCAACGCTATTAGTTATTCTACGTTTTCAGAAGCTGATGTTTCGACAAACATTTACCAAATAAAATGCTTTATTATTAGTAAGTTCTTGGACTTGAAATGCTTTGAAGGCTTGAAATTAAGTTTCTTGGGCACTTGGTTTCTGTGGACAGAATCGCTGGAGAGTCTTCTCTGCTGGCCTCTGCTTAGCTCGGGAAAAGTTGTTGTCAGCTGCCGTGCAGGTGGCCATCTGGCACTGAACCATTGTGGTCCACAGCTAATTGGCTGATTTTTGTAAGCAGATAGACTTTTCTTAGTCTTAGTTTGGAAACCCCACTGAAGCCTGCTCAGCGTCAGGCACCCTCCAAGCCCTACGACCATTGAGGCGATGGCGGTGCATGAGCTGTTCTTCCGGGGAATTGAACCTGGGTCTCCCACATAAAAATTCTAAAACTCAATGCCATCAAATTGATTCCGACTCAGTGATTCTATAGAATCAGCGATATGTAAATTATGGAATTGCCCCATGTGGCTTTCCAAGAATAACTCTTAACAAGGGTAGAGATCCTCATCTTTCTCCCAAGTAGTGACTGGTAGCTTCAAACTGCTGACCTTGCAGTTAGCAGCCCAACGTGTGATCATCATGTCAGCAGAGCTTCGTGGTCTCTAACATAGAGGGTGGGAATTAGGTACTCTATCTACTTTCAGGAAGAGAGAGAGATATAGATACAGTGAACCCTCGTTTATCGCGGTTAATCGGTTCTAGACCCTACCGTGATAAATGAAATTCCGCGAAGTAGGATTCCTTATTTGTAAATCAAATATTTTCGTAGTTAGAGCATAGAGGACACGAAAAAACACCCTTTAGCCACCATTACACTCGTATTACCCAATTTATTAAATGAAAAAGGGAAAATACAGTAAAACATTTTGGACGTTACAATAACGCATTATTTATTATATTATTTATGGCATCTAGTTTACAGTATTACATATTTCACATACAGTATTATTATACATAGTTCTTACAAATACTGTAATCAATAGCCTATGAAATGACTTAAGGGATGTACTCTACAGGTGGGTCGCCGTCTTTTTCCTCTGAAGGAGCGGGTGTAGGCAGTGGGTGCTGTTACGCAAAAACCGTGATAGAGTGAAGCCGCGGAAGTCGAAGCACAAAGTGGCGAGGGTTCACTGTAGTTTGTGTGTGTGTGTGTATGTTTATGTGCGTTAAATGGTATTGGTGCTAAGTGAATGCATTACTTGGTAACGTTTGACCTTCCTCCCTCTGTAACCAGTCCAGTCCAGGGTTGAGCTTGGCAGGTTTTCCTGGGAAACGTTAGGTGAATGGATGTGGAGCTTTCATTCTGACTTTGGTGCATATGGATAAGCTAGATGTTGCTCAAATCTCATCTTCCTACCTGTGGCTCTTGAGAAACAAGCCCCATTCTTTGATTTAGGCTCAGCTCCTGGCTGCTCTGCCCCACTAAGGGTGAGTGGTAAAAATATAGACTGTGGGTTCTGGTGCTTGGTTCAGTACTTGGGCTCTGTCCTGGCTCTTGTCCTTAAAAAGTCACTTGACCTTTCAGGGCTACAGTTCCCTCAAGTGTAAGTGGAAATAATATTCAGTCAGCAGGTTGCGAGATAAAACGTGCATTTAGAAAGATTCCAAGCCGAATTCCTAGTTCTGGGGAGACATTCTCCTTTCTTTCAAGAATCCTCCTCTCATTCTTTGGGCTGTGTTCGCGAACTTTTCTTAACCTGATTTTGCTTAACCTAGAACTGGTGTGATAATCAACCTGGATTTTTGTGCATGAGTTCTGTGGATTTTCTGGAGTTTATGAGTGAGCTTCACCTTGGCTCAGGGTGCAGGAAGCAGTTTTCGAGAAATGTTTTTAAACCGACCCCATGTGTCATCACTACTTTTGTCTCTCTGCAGATCCCGCTTTTCAGAAGATGCACTATTATAGATACTCGAATGCCGAGGTCAGCTGCTGGTACAAGTACCTTCTCTTCAGTTACAACATCGTTTTCTGGGTGAGTGAATGCCTTTCGTGCCACAAATCCCGCTTGGCTTATACTTCTTGCCGGGTGCCACTATAGACGCTGTGTGGAATGTGGTGGTGGACCAGGTTGATGTGGCTCCTACTTTCCTAGAATCAGCAATAAGTAAATTATGAAATAGATCATTAAGTGCTCTGATGGGACGGCCTAAGTGATTGAAAACTTGAAGGAGGGCCACTAACCTAGCCTTGAGGGCTTGAAGTACTGGCCCCGATGGTTGCCTGTCTAGTCCTACCTCTCTACCCACTGCTCCCCCAGAAGGCCCTAATGGACATCATCTGCAATGTGCTCTGTGCACACTTGGCTGCGTCCAGGCCCTGTGTAGGCAGGAGGTACTGGCTAAGGCTGGGATGGCTCCACTGCCATGGTGCTTAGTGTGGAGTCAAGGTCTGGGATGGCCAAGAATAACACAGCTCTCACACAGGTATTGGATGGAACAAGGCCTCAGTCACAGGGAGAGAGCAAGGACTGCTACAGTTGTGGGTGCTGGGCACCCATGGCCAGTGGATCCCTCCCCTCAGTTGATGGAGGCCCAGTGCTCTGTGTGTATCCTTCTTGTGCCTTGGGTGAAGGGGCCCTGGCAACAGAGAGAGCCAGGGCTTGGCCAGTTGCCATGTCATGCACATACATACAGGTAAGCAGTTCCTAGGAATCCTGACATGTGTTCAGGGCCAAGGTGACGGGATGTGCTAATAGTCTACCACTTGCTATGGGATATGTTTGGCGCCACGTGCCCCAGAACAGGAGAGCCAGCCCACACGACACTCTTATTCCATCAAAGATACCAGGCCGACACAACTGGTCCTAAGCACAGCTTCGTTTGTAGGCCATAGGCAAAGGTGGCATGCTGTGCTTGGGTGCCCCCTTCCACATTTATGTTCAACCAAAACCAGTCTTAGCTCGCTGAGTGATGGAGAGCAGGGAGGCAGATGCTCCTTGACTGGGGTGGTTAGAGAAGGTCTTATTGAAGAGGTGACTTGTGAGTTGAGACCGGAGGAAAAGGAGACCTAGCAGAGGGACGAGCAGATGCAAAGGCCTTGAGACAGGCTTGAACTTGACATGTGTGCTAGAGGCAAAGGGTAGCCACGTGGCTGGGGCAGAGTAAGTAAGGGGTGGAGAGGACACAGGTGGGGACAGCTGGTAGGAGCCAAGTCAAGTAAGACCGACCCCATAGGTCACCCAAGGGATGGTTGTGGGTACAGCAGTAGCATTGATTTCCAACTACAGAACGATTCTGCAGAGTGAGGGTAGAGTCTGGGGGCAGAAGTTAAGTTTCTTTGGTCTCTCAGCTGGCTACTTGTTTGGTGCTGCTCACGGTTGTCCTTGAGATGAAGGGCAAACAGAAAGGGTGGTCTTGATAGGGTCATTGAAGGAGACCATCCTGATTGAGCAGGAGAGGTCTGAAGATTGAGTTCTGGGGTGCTAGAGGTTGGGTTGAGGAGGCAGAGAGGGGCTTGGGGTAACAGAAAGGCCAGGCAACTTGGATGTTGCAGAACCCAGAGAGGAAGCCTTCAAGCGGAAAAGGACCGCTCTGCCAAGGGCCAGAGAGCAGCGCAGATAATCGGGGCTGGAGGCAGAGGCGGTGAGGATGGAACGTGGCACCTGGCTTTGCAGCATGGAAGCTGTTGGTGACCTTGACTACAGCAGCCATGTGCTCTAACGGTGGACTTGGTTGAGGAGCCAGCAGGCGGTGAGGAGGTGGAGACGTCCCTTGCCTTACAGAAGAGCAGAGAAATCGGGGACTGACTGGCGATGGTCACGGGGTTGAGGGGCTGGCAGAACATGTGTATTGCCAGAGGGATTGATCCCCTGGGAGCATTGATTCTGTGCAGGACGGCGAGAGGGCATGCTTGGGCACAGGAGCTTTGAGGACCATTCAACAAGCCTGCTTTATTGTCTGGAGAAGGGCACATCGCCAGGGAGGGTCTTTGGAGAACAGAACCTTGTGTTCTCATCGTTCTGGTGCCCAAGGATCGGCAGCAGGGCCTTGACTGTGCTGACTCCTTGTTGGTAGCCCTGGGCAGCTCGTTCCCTGGCTCTTGCTGTGCAGTTGGTCATTACAGGGCGTCTTTTTACCCCCTGTGTGCGTGTTTGCGTCTCGTCTGTTGTGGCCTTTATAAGACTCAAAAGGAATCAGGATTCAGATCCAGTCTCGGCTTATTGGGAGGAAAGGGTAAGGCCTCCCAATGAGAGTCTTGTAGGATAGCCCTTGCTGCTCCTGAGCACGTGCTGTGTCGTGGTGGTAAAAGACTCCGAGGCGGGGCTTTCCTGGCCTTTTTCTCACCGGTGCTGCCTTGGATTTTGTTAAATCTTCATAATAAGCCCCTATGATCATCCTGCATTAGAACATCTCTCAAGATGACTCCTGTGGCTTGCACGCCAAATGCCCTCCGTCTTTGGCAGCACTTGGTCTTGTACCTCCATTGCTCACTTCCATTCTGAATGTGACAACCAGAATAAAACTCACCGCTGCTCTGGCCAAGGGCCGAGGAAAGCCCTCAGAAGCTTTCAAAACAATTACATGCTCCTGGGGAGCTCTAGTCCCTGGCCCATTTACAGCTTCACATTGAAATGGCAGAATTTGTCTGTCTGGAATTGTAACTAGTCAGCCGGGTGCCGGATTGGTTCTGCAGCACTGTCAAGTTCTGCATAATTGGCAGGCTGTGTGGCCAAGAGTTAATCATCTTTTCGTTGGTGCGGGTTCTAAGGAGGGGGCGGGGGAGTCGTCAGGAAAATGAGCTATGAGAGCGCTTGGTGGAGGAAAATGAGAGTAGGAGACCAGGTGCCTACCTTAAGGGAGGCCACTAGACCTCCTCTTGAGTTCTTCGTGTGATGGAGCTGGGGTGTTGCACGTAGCCTGAGGTAGGGGCACACATCCCTCAAGAGAGCAGTGAAAGTGTGCAACCTGACCCCAGACACCTACACGTGGGTGCCCGCCTAGACTCCCCCAAATGGGGTTACGGATAAGCCTGCCAATGGCCTCAAGAGTTTGCCGGTGATGTAAGAAGAATATGATCATGCTTAAACCCTTGCCTCCTCAGAGATTGCCCTTTCGAGTGGACCCAAAAACCAAACTCATGGACATCTAGTCGATCCAATTCATAGAAACCCCATAGGATGGGGTGAAATGCCGCCGTGGGTTTCCAGGACTAACTCTTTATGGGAGTAGAAAGCCTCGTTCTTTTCCGCACAGAGCAGCTAGTGTTTTTGAACTGCTGACCTTCCATTTCACAGATCAACGTGTAACCACTATGCTACCAGGGCTTCTGGTTTTTCAGTGAATAGAATACAGAAATGGGATCGTGTATGGCCCCCATCCCAGGGGGACGGACAGCAGAAAAGTGGGTGAAATGAGATAGCAGTTGGTGTAAAACATGAAAAAATATAAATTATCAAGGTGGCATGGGTGGTGGTGGTGGTGGTGGTGCAGAATTAGGAACTGATGCCAGAGGCTCAAGTAGAAAGAAAACGTTTTGAAAAAGATGATGACAACATGTGTAAAGATGTGTTTGACAAAATGGATATATGTATGGATTTTGATAAGAGCTCTAAGAGCCCCCAATAAAATAAAATAAAAATAGGATCGTAATAAGCCCTGTGTTCCTTTCATCTAGGAACTCAGGCTGATTTTGTTTCATCTATAGCCCATCTCTTGAAACTCTGGGGTGGTTCCAGCAAATAGTTCCAGTGTTCAGTTCCTAACAGAAGGCTGGAGTGCAGCTCTGCCCAGGGAAGCCTTGGAAGAAAGGCCTGGTGAACTAGCAGCCATTGAAAACCTTAGGGAGCATAGTTCTGCTTTGAAACAGCCATCGATTTGGAATTAATTAGAAAGTAGCTGATCTCGTTTGATTCCACTCCTGAGTTTATCTTAAAGCAAATCCTGATGGATCATGTCCTTTGGCAAGTTGATGCTAGAATTTCGTTTTTTGTTTGAATGAACTAGTGAAGAGTTGCACGAAACAGTAGGGTTATCTATATAAATGGTGGATCCTGTGCTCAGCAGGCACACGTGAACACTGGGGACTCAGGTATTGGCCTGTGCAGAAGACAACCAATTGTTTCTTTGACCTACCCTAGGTGCTGGAGCAAACACAGAGTTAATTCCATTTGTCCCACTTGGAATTATTGGCATTATCAACATTCCTTAGAGGCAAATACCTGTTGCTCCCTTAATGGAAATGTTATGTATTTTATTGTCTTGTGCCGTGGAGTTGGTGTAGGCTCAGAGCCGCTGCTTACAACAGAACCAAGCCCTGCCCTGTCCTGGGCGGTCCAGAGTTGTTGTCATCACTTTGATCCCAGATACCAAACCACATCCACTACCATTGACTTAGTTCTGACTAATCTGGACCCTCTAGGAGAGACAACTACCCCATTGGGTTCCCTAAGCTGTAATTTTCTTTCAGATTTTTTTTTTCGGTCCTAAGCTATACTTTTTATGGCAAGAAACCATTAGGCCTTTTCTCCAGCGAGTGAGTTTGAATGGCCAACCTTTCGTTTGTTTTGTTTGCAGTGCTTAACCCTCAGTGCAACAGGACTTCTTTATAGGGATGTTAGGAAGAGAAACCCTTTGAGAGCACTGCCACTTTTTTGTTAAGCCTTTGTTGTGAGCTGGGTGAAGTTTTGCAGAGCATGTCCTCAGTTTTACTTTCCACACTTCATACAGCTTTTGCTTCGTCTTACTCGGGTGCACTATGACTCGCTCCACCTCCTCCCTTTGTCTTCTGCCTCCATTCCTTATAATGAGCGTTGTCCCCATCAGACGCTGCCCTCTTGCTCTGAGATGGTTGGTTCTTCTATGGTTGGTAATCTCACTAGTGCTGTTGTCCCCTTTACAGGCCTGTCTGTTGTTCAGTTGAAGGTTGAGCCCTGTTGGGTGAGTTGTATTCTAAGGCCAAGGGCCATAGTCTCAGGGAATCTTCCAGTCTCTCTGACCAGCAAGTCTGGCCTGATTTTGAGTTTTATTCCACAGG